ACAGGCTGCGGGACCGAAGCTCGAAGCCACCTGCCCGCGCGTCCCCGTGTCCCGCGGACGAAGGCCAGGCCACGTCCGGCAGGGGGGGAGGACAGGCTGCGGGACCGAAGCTCGAAGCCACCTGCCCGCGTGTCCCCGTGTCCCGCGGCCAACACCCCCATTCTCGCCCGCTTCCTGAGAGCGCGGTCTCCGGAAAGCGCTCGCTCGTTTCGAAGTGAAAGGGAAGAATCGATTTCCCCCCAACACCGTACACCTTTGCTACCGGTCGATGACTTCGGCTTCCCGGCAGCTTCTCTGAATCTGGCTTAAGTTTTAGGCTTTCTTAACTGGGTCGCATCCATGAAACACAACGGCAATTACGAATCCCGAACAAGGATGCGCTCCGGTGCCAGACCCTGCGTGGCGGCCGTCCAAGCGCACCGGTTCCTGAGCAACGGAGGCCAAAGACTCCTTCCGGGTCTCAGTATTGCTTCAGACGCCTTCGGGGCGCCTCCCTTGTGCTGTTCGACGGCACAGGGGAAGCACACTGGCCATCAGGAAAGAAGCCTTTGCATAGTCTCCCTTCGCTGCACTAACTTCTGCGTCCAGCTCTCTCCAGTCCAACCCCACCTCAGCGTGTAAGAGTCTAGTGATGTGTGTGAAGCATGCAGAGTGCGACCCCACACATACAAATGGCTGGAGCCCCAAGACTCTGGCAGATCCCAGGACCTCTGAGATGTGTCGCTGCCGATACCACGCTCTGCATTTGGATCAGGGCACAGCACCAGCCATTCCTTTTCCAGCCTCTCTCAGCAGCAGGACGCTGTCCGAGGGCGTAAATCATGGCATCTCTAGCGCCGCGCGTGCAGGCTCCACTGACATTTTCACAATTTAAATCATCTTGAGTAATAACCCTTTTAAGATGACTAATGTTACTGATTTTCCTGCATTAATAATAGTGCCGAACACAACACAGAGGTGAAAAAAAATCACTAGTGTACGAGGTCACATTTTAAAACCAAATGTATGGTTATTGTTAACTCTTTCTGCGGAAGCGGGGCGCCCATTTCCAGTCAGGCTGGAAACTCCTTACTGTCACCCTTCCAGAAGCCTGTTTCCTTGCGTGCTTCCCCTCTCCCCCCAAATGCCACAAAGGATAAAAATCAATGCCTTGCTGCTTTCTTGGAGGTTCTCAAATAGTTTCAATATAAATAATGATGGTGAGCTTGATTTGATAGTTTTCACTTCCACGAAAAGTGACAGCACACAATGGTTTAGTCCTCTTACAGAACATACCCAAATGATCCCCAAAATTGCTGGCTGAAACTAACTGGCATCAACAGGCATATGGTGCTTTAAAAAATAAAAATCTAATTTCTCACTTGATAAATAACTACAAAGTATTTTTCATTCTTCATAGATTTTCTATGAAAATATGCATGATGTTTGATTTCTGCTGGTGGTTCAAAATGCAAGGGACACGCAATGCTCAGATACTTCCCTATTTTTGATTCCTTTCTTCAAATCCAGCCAAGAACCAAAAAACGGGGTGGGGATGCCACAGATAGAAAGATGTTAAGGGGCATGATGACATCTGGGCTCCCCTTATGGTCTGAGTCATCCCTTCTCTGATCAACGGTATGGTCAAATAGCCTTCTTGCCTCAGAATAGGGCTACATGAAGTTCTATAAGGTACACAACCACTGGAGTCGCATACAGCTGGAACGACGAAGACCCCATGTTCACTACAATGTGCTGTTCCTCAGATCATCTCGTCTCTATGACCTCTTCAAATGAGGCATTCATCTGAAGTAGTTACGGTAGGTATCAATTTTTCCAGTAAGCTCTGCCAAAGAACTCTTCCAGAAACAATGTATCATTTTGTTATTCACTACTAATGCTTTCTTGACCTGCAACTAGCCACAAATGATGCTCAAGTAAGGGCCACTTGAGCACTGAACAAACACATACTGTGTGGAATTACAAGATGTGGTTAAGTTTTTTTCTGATTACAAAGATAGTGAATATGCAGTGTGGAAAATTCAAAAAATAAAAGGAAGTACAAAAAAGAAAGCAAAATCCCCTGAAATCTCACTTCCCAGAGACACTGCTGCTAACATTTTGGCAAACAACCTTCCAGACCTCCACGTACGTGTGTGTGTGTGTGTGTGTGTGTGTATATATATATATGTGGAAAAGCAGATTTAAGGCATTCCGTAAAACAGGCTCATATTAAAAGGTAGTTCCACAATCTGCTGTTTCAGCCAACAAAATGTTCAGCGCAATCTTCTCACATTAAAGACTACATATTTACATCATTCCTTTAAATGGCTGAGTGGTATTCTATTGTATGACAGAGCAAATAAATGTAAATAGAACCAGTGTGCATCTAATTTACCATTAGCATTTCTGAAAAATGATATTTGTTTGTTGAATGGTGCTGGCAGAATTTAGGTAAGAGAATTGTGAATGTCCTTCATTACAAAACTCCTCTTGCTCAAATACCAATGGATACAGAAAAGTAAAATACTCAAGTCGTAGAAAATCAAAGGGCTTAAAAGATTGCCAAGCTACATCATTCAGTAGATGAGTATGTAAACTAACTAAAAAAAAAATGCTTCACAAAACTGGTTCTGTGAAGATTATCTTCTGAACTTACAGCAACACACACAGAATAATTCATCACAACAGGATTGTTTTAATGCTATTCTCCATGTAAGAACTGCTGCACACAGACCTTTACTAAGTCTTACTTGAGTAATTGTCCGACCAATATTTCTCATTAACACTCACTTCTCAGCAAAGATTTTAATAGTGGATAGCTTTATTAAGATTCTGTATCAATAAGACTTCCTTATGTTTTCAAAATATCTTACAGTATACTTCCTTATTGGAATGATACAGAAGTATTCTCATATATCACTAGAATTATATTCTATATATTCTATATATGAGAAGTATTCTCATTCTATATTCTATATATGAGAAGTATTCTCATATATCACTAGAATTAAATAGCCAATGCCTCCCTTTAACTCAAATACCAGACCACTGCAATTCTGGAAGAGACTTTGTTGGATTTTCCTGACCTGTTTTTGTGCTTTCCACTAAGATTTCAAGACTGAGTTGGGTGTGATGTAAACATCCAGGAAATAGGCTGTCCTTTAAGTTCTGACACTGGTTTTAGAGGCAAGAACGACCTAGGTGCTGCCCGCTTGCTCTGGTGCTCTGGCATGTGCAGATGGCACAGGGCAGTTCGTGGAGCTGTGAGCTTGGGCACTAAGGAAATGGGCTGCGGAATGCCTTAAATCTGCTTTTCCTCACTGTGTGCCAAGCCACGCATCCAGGCACAAGGGTCTACGTGCACCTGCAAAGCCCGGAGCCTGCAGAGAGGGACCAGACGATGAGGAGGGGCACAGTCTGCCTGCTGGCAGACTCCTTAAGCAACCACCATTGAAAAAGTCCGGTAGCGGACGCCTAATGGACTCACTGCGGGGTTTCAGTGGTGGAGGCGAGCAGTCCCGTGGCCACCCATTGGGAAGAGCAAGGGCTGGGAGAGAGGTCTCTGATGAGACAGAGCTCGATCTGAGCTAATTAAGATCTGGAGACATACTCTGGAAGGATAACGAGGAAATAAACTGGAAAACTAAATTAGTTGAAACAGAAGTCTGTGACAGATTTTGAAGCTGTCATGCTTTAACAATAGGTTGTTAATTAAGCAATTTATTGTATCTGTTTTAAATTTTATTAGCCATTGATTTTTTAAACTACCATCAAGTTGTGCTGAAGCCTTGTTTAAACTTTCATTTTGTTTTGGCTCTTAAAGCCATACACTGAATCTCATAAAACACACTTGCATCCTAGAAAAATAAAGGTAACAACAAAGTTTGAAATTAACTCTTTTTGGAAGGTTGGTAGTATTTAATTTTTTTATAATTACTAGGACTAAAAGAGTAAGGTAATTAAAAAGACAACGGGATCAAGCACTAAGGATGAAACCCTTCTACCGTAAAAATTAGTTGCCTGAAATTGATATTCATTTTATTTGGTTTTTTTTGTTTGTTTGTTTTTATTTCAAAAACTTTAGGGGGTACAATAGTTTTGGTCTGGGCTCTAAGTGCACCCACCTAGTATTCATTTTAATCAGAGTTAAAGACAGGCATTCCATAAACTGCCAGCCAAAGATACTCAGATTTTTAGGAATGTTTTGAATAGTCTGGGAATTAAGAGAATGATGTGGGAAATTCAGAACGCACACAAAAATAAGTAATTATAGGGGACATGAAATGGATACCAGGAGAGCACAGTATTGTTTGATGCCCTTTGAGTTGCAGACCCAGGGACCTTGTGTGAATGCCTGGTGGAAGTCCAGGGCCGATTCCTCTCGGGCCAGACCCTCACACATGGCCCCTGCCCCTGCTTGCTGTGGCCCTGCCCACCTGACACGAGCAGAGACCCTCCTCCACCGCCCGCACCCCCTCCTGGGCGCCACTCTTGCCTCAGCTCAGCTGTCACTTCCGCTAGAAAGCCCGCCCACAACCCTACTCTCAGGACTCCCTCTGCCCTGTAACTGCTTGCTCACTGATGTGTCTGCTTCAGACTGAAGGTTCTGTGAGAGCAGATGCTCCTCTTTCCAGATTGCTAATTGCATTCTCAGCACCCTGCATGCTAGTGCCAGGCATATAATCAGTGATCAATAAATGCTTGATATTTGTTGAAAGACGGGAGGAAGGCAGGCAGGCCCGACAGGACGCCTTACCTACCGAAGGCATGTCATGCAGTTTACCCTTCAGGACCCCGAAGCAGCTACCCTTACCTGCCAGAAAGAAATGTGGCTGTCAGTGTTTGAGTAGGTGGCAAGGTATCGGCCATCGGGAGCAAAGGCCACTGCAGTGATCGGTCCCTTGTGTCCATGGATGGTCTAAAATAAAATCCAGACAGCATTAATGGCGTGCTCTCCACAGAATGATTACCAGTACACATGCAAATGCATTCAATGTTGAGCAAGTTATGTCACATATATTAGATGCTGTTCTGGTCTCTGTTTATAAATCAGGTTCAAAACATAAGAAAAGCAACCAAAGTTCTCTCTCTGAAGGAGCTCTCCAAGTGCTTCAAACTTGTTCAGGTCTGCCTGTTTCCTAGCTGGGAAGACAGCACAAGCCCCAAAGAAAAGCATATATTAATGCGCAAACCAAAGTGTTAATTCATTTATGTCCATTAGAGGGAAGAATTTTACCACTAATTAGAAAGGCAAAAAACTGATCACCAGAAACCTTGGTTCATCTGAAATAAAAAAACAATCAAAGCTGGATCATAAAATCCTGTTTTGGAAGGAGCTGAAGACCATAATTCCTACTCCTTAATAATTATGTATTTTTCAGGCTTTATGCTTCATTTTCCACCAATAACACTGTGTTTAATGCATAGAGTTGCAATTAGTAAATATACATACACACATGTGCTGGACGTTTGAGCACACATATAAATCAAATTCCATTAAAAACAAGTTAACGGGGATAGTTCTGAACCTCTGCCAAATAGCTATCATTGATTTAACCATGAATAATAAAAAGGAAGCTGTATTTTAGACTAGATCTTTCATAAAAGCTTCTTCCTAATAAAAAACACACTCAAGTCTGATGATATTAATAATTACAGAAAACGCTGGATACTAAACAAATTAACGCAACATTGTATGAACGTCCCTACACTCAACTATTAAAAACCATACCTCTGCCACGTCAACCCATATTCAGTCTGGCTTATGAGCTGAAGGTTGGTCTCTTTCCTTTGTCTAACACGAATGGGAAATGTGTGCCCCTAAACTAAGATGATACTGGAAGGGTTTGTCTCCAGTTGTCATTTTTGGTGAAGAATTATGAACCTTGAGTCTCAGTTGGAAGCATCTGGCTTGTTATGTGATTCAACCCATATATACTGTAGATTTCAGGCAGGCTTGTTCTCATCAATCTCTTAATCACTAAAATGAGGAGGAGGAGAAGGAGGGAGGAAACGGGGTAGGGACCCAAGCATACTTCTCGCCGCCCTTTGCATCCTGCTCTTTCTTGTCATTCGATTTTCAAGGCACTGTGGTTTCCAAAACAATCCTTGTTTTCCAGCACTCAAAGAATAAATGTTATGCTGGTACTATAACACTGGGCTTCGGGCAGGCAGAGAGCACTGATCGAGCCAGACTGTCTGGGTTTGCCCTTGGGCTCTGCTACTTACTAACTACAGAACCTAGGGCAAGCTATTTACGGGACTTAGCTCAGAGTCCCCATAGTTGTAAAGCAGGGATAATAATGATGATCACAGTAATATCTAACTCGAAGAGCTTTACGAAGATTAAATGAGATGATACTCACATAGCCCTCTGCACAATGCATGGCACGTAATTCAGTAAATACTATTCATGTTTTTGTTGCTCCTGATTGCTTACAGAGGACCAGACAAATGCAAAAAAACACATACCTCAATTGCTTGAGTATCCCATTTAATGCCCACCTCCCAAAAAAGTGCTCTGATTATGTATCCCAGAATCAGCATCACCTAGCATAGGTTGCCTAGAAACACAGACTTTAGACTGCGGCATTTTATTAAACAGATGCGGTAACTACTCATGATGCTGGCCCACAAATGGACTAAGTTAAGCAACAGGGTGCACCCGCTCATAACTACTGCAAGAAATCAGCTCAACATCAACTACAGCAGAATGAAAATTATTCAGGCAGGAAAGACCCCTGAACCTATTAAGTGAGGAAAACTGGCTATTCCCACGTACTAGGTCAGTTTAATGAGCTCACTGGAGAAGCATTTTAAATTATTTTTAAAAATCAAGATTCAGTTCTGCTAAAAGTATGAAATTCTCTTGAGCCAATCTGAGGCTATTTTATGGTTAAGATAGTTGATTAGTACGGCCTTGAGTTATTACAGAGGTTGCAGACTAAAGACCTTTCAGCTGAAAGCAGATTGTAGATATGTTTGGTTTAGCCTGCAACAATGTGAAAAAAAAATGTTTTTTTGAGCCCGTATTTCTAATTCATCAGATTTCAGGTAAAATCAAGATGTCTAGTCTCTCTTGAAATAAGTGGAGGCTCAGGCAATAGTGGGCCTTTGGCCACATGTGGCACCATCAGCCAAGGCTGAGTGGAGCTGGCCACTTCAGTCTGGCCATGTGCCCTTCACTTCACTAGGCCAGCACTGACAGAAGCAGAGAAGACCTGTGTACCAGGCTGCCCGGCTCACTGATTTCCTGCCTGGTTCCTCGTGGCATTTAATGTAACCCTTCCATGGCAAATATTTGGTTTCAAATAATTTCTTCCATGTTCTGGAGGTATCTAGTACTCATGTAAAGCTACAAACTACGTAAAAGTTCTTCTAACAACATTTGGCTGTTCTTGAAAGTCCTCTGAAGCCCAATTCCAGAGGGAGATTGACCCTCCTTCTGGAAATTGGACCCGTAGATTTCAAAACGAAGTGCCAAGCCTGCCTCTTTCAGACTGGCATCCTTCCTTAATCAGCACCCAGCATGTACTTCAGACAATCAGAGAAAGCAACAGCAAGCTGACTAGAAACCAGCAGCTCCAAAGGATGCTACGACCCAGTGGACACACTGATGGCCCTCCTTTTGAGGCTGAGTTAGCCCTGTTGTAAAAGCCGAACCAGACATTCTGGGTACCTATTTGCTCCTTCAGAGCAATCTTCTCTAAATATTTCGTAGTACACCTTCATCCTCTGTAAGGGTCTGGCACCTTCATCCTCTGTAAGGGTCTGGCATTCACTTGAAGCATACTTCCCTGTCCGCCGCTGAAGATGCAGTCATTATGCCATCTGTATCTCTAACGGAAGAGCCTATGAAATAAGTTCATCCTGGAGTTTTCTACCAGGCAAATGTGTTTCTTTCCAGATAAACCTTGTTGCTTTCCTTTTATCATCTAACTCTAATTGCATAATACAACAGCAGCTTGCTTACTTTACTTCCAGGAAACTCGCAACTCCAATTGTGGTCCTTTTATAAATACTCCTGACTCATCTCACTAGTCATTGTTCTGCTTTCATTTGCTGTTGTTGTGGACCTGGCATATGCGGAGCCCAATGATGTTACTTTCTTTAAAGCCTTTTTGGACAAAGTGGGACTGTACTGTGGATAAGAACATTAACACACACATGCACAGATAATACTGCTAGGTGTCCCCAGCAGTACTACTTTTAAAGAACCTGAAGAAAAACCAAGGAACAGTAACTGCAGCTGACAGACAAACAGACCTGCCGCCTTACAAGAAAGCAAGCACAGGTCACATCAGAGCAGGGAAGCCGGCTATTTTAAATGGTTGGTGCATCTGGTGAGTTCATTACAATTGCTGCCTGAGAGGTGCTTCAGGCCTCACTGTAATGGAAACGCTGCCATTGTCTCTCGTCCAGACTCTCTGAACTTCTAAGATCTGTGCAGGCACCACCTGAACTGACTGTGGCCTCTGCTCTGGCATCAGACACGCTTACCCAGAGAACTCACAGACTGACTTGCAGAGAAGGGCTTTGTGAAGGCTCGGACCTGATGGTCCTGGTCTCAAATGCTAGACCCTAAGGAACATTCCCCAAAACCACCGGTTTCAGCATAAAAAGAGCTGCGCTTGACCTTTTATGTGCGAATGAGCATCGTGCCTTGTTATATTTTTAGTTACATAAATTGCTGTCCTGAAAGGAGAGAAATAGAATATAAAGAAATTAATCTAATTCGGGAAGTGCTATGAACAATTTTTGAAAATCAAGCAATTAATTACTTTTAGCAGGAGACAGTGTTGAACTGTTAAACACCCCCACCCTTTTTTCTTATGAAAGAAAAGAAACCGAGAGGCAGGACTGACAGCGAGCAGCACTTACACTAGTCAACGGTTTTAATACACACTTTCAGCGTGCCCTGCCAAGAAGCATAATTGACCCGGTTGTGCAGAGGACACAGAGGAGAGAACTTCTGAAACGATTTGGTCAGCAGAAGCCATGGCTTCCTAGAATCTTCTCTGTACAACTGCTCTTCCCATGGCCCGGCTCTTCCTGGAGCTCTTGACAAGCTTGAGCTTCCAGATGACAAGTTTGAGACTTGAAAACAGAAGGCAGGACTCCATTGCACCCGCTTTGAGGTGGAAGAAAATCAAGGAGGGCATTTTCTATTTATTTGCAGGTCTCATCATTTTTTTAAGGGGAGGGAAAAAAACCCAACCAAACAAAACATTTTCTTGCTTTTAACATCACTTACGAAAATAAATTTCCAAAAGGAGGAAAAATCTTGCTATCATAAATTCCATCCTAAGAAAAAGATTTATAAAGTACTGATCCATGTGTTTTGTATAATAGCTACTAAAATAAATGTTATTTTCCATAAAAGCATTTACTGAAAACAAACAAACAAACATTACAGAACGTGGACTGAACCTTACAGTCCCAAGGTCTCTTGGGTCACCTTGGTTGTAAGCCTTCTCAGGAAGCGGCATGGCTGATTTTAGATTAAGTTAGGCAGGTACAACTTGAGGGGCACTTGAAAGGTCTGCTGAGCCGAAAATATGTCCTCAGTTGGCTGTCCATGGCCTCTGAAATTCCTAAAAACACAATTATACCTTCACCTGAGGCATCTTCCCTAGATGTGCTCAGCAGAGGCAAACTGGACAAGCTTGTTTTCACAACATACAAACACAGCAGATGCCCTGAGTTGGAGGTGAGCCTGAGTGATGTGTCCATTTGTGTGTGGAGGCAGCAAACAGGTGAGACAGGCTGGGTATTCACCCAGGAAGTAAGGACAGGAGCCCTGAAAGGAGAGGCAGTACCGAAGACCTACACACACCTACACCTTCCTAGCACCGCTCCCACTTAATGACAACCACCAACGCCAAGTGAGGTGCAGGGCTTGCCCACCTCTGTATATCT